TACTATAAAGAACAATTCAATGAATTGGAAAAAAAGCTGCTCACTTACTAGCTATAGCAAAAAAGCTCTGTCATTTGATATTTGCCACAATCAGTTTGGAATTTAATATCTGAGCACTTTAAAAGTGATCCTGACATTTTAATATTGTCTTACATTTCCTAGCAGTATTTTATTTTTTTAAGCCGACGTGGAATGTGTTGATTATTGTAATGCAGTTTTGACGCAGACCCTCACAAAGCGCCTCTCCAATCTGCAAGAAAATGATGCAAGATCAAACGAGACGCTTTTTCTGCAAGAAAGCAAACATCTTTCAGCATGGAGCTCAGCTACCAAATGCAGGTCCACACCAAAACGGCACAGAGCCTGAAAACTGCAGCAAATCTTTGCCCCACATAAAATAAAACGCTCTCCAGAAAGGCAGCTGTTGTTCTACGGGTAGAGCAGTTGGCTTCCAGAGCAGGGTAGCAATAAGATAGTATGCTTTATTATGAGTGTCATGGAGACGGTGTGAAAAATCAAGAGCCATAGGCAGTAAGCGGCAATGGGTCAATAATGTTCACTGAGACATTGTGTAGATAATCAACAACAAGGCCCTGGGTTCTCTATGCACTGCAAACAGCTGAAGGGCAAATCAATACAGCCATGGGAAGGACACTGCCCGGCGCTGCTCCCCGCAGCACGCTGCGGAGGGCACCCTAAAAACAAGTGGATGCAAACTTGCACTGCTGTAAAGCCGTGCCCTCGGAACGGAGCAAGGCTTGGAAAACATCGAATAACAGGAGAGGAGGGGACAGAGCCCAACCTTGATATTAAATCACGGAAGAAATCAGATACCAAAAAATACGTATTTGGAAAGCTCATGACAGAACACAGCCTGGTTGTAATTTTCAGTCCAATTATATCCTTAAAAATAAACTCAAATCCAAACCCCTTGAAATGAATAAGACATATACCCGAAAGAAAGAGTTTAACACAGAGCAGCTTAAAATTTGGAGTACGATAATTAGTGATCCGTCTTTTAAATTAGCAAGTGGAAATCACACATTAATAGATGCATCTGTGCAACAGCAGTGATGCAAACCAAACACAAAATACTGAAAACGCAGACAACTGGCTCTGAGGCAGCGTTTTCCTGGCAGTATTAATAATTGACACCTTGTTAAATAAGTGATATTAATATTGTAAATTTCTCCAGAAAAAAAAAAAACTATCACATGTGAATGTTGATTTATTATTTGTTAAAAAAGGTGATTCTTGACATCCATCATTCTATTAATCATTAGATGTAATTTCTCAGTCATTGTGTACAACCACCTTTCTTGAAAACAAAGTGAAAATATGCTGGAAGGAAAAAAGCTCATGAAATGCTTCTGTTTTCAATTATTCCAGCCAAAAAAGACTCCCTTCCTCCTTCCAGGGCATGATAAAATTCCTGTCCTATTTCACCTATCGTGTAAAAATAACATAACCACATTTAACTGGGCGCTCACTTAGGATATGCATGTTCTGCTTTTGGCAACTGCCACAGAATTTTCTATAAAGTATAAGTGGTGAAGTGACAATCTCAGCAACACCAAACAGCCACACTACACCGACCTTGCTATCGAGATTGAAATATTTGGATTTTTTTTTTTTTAGCACGACGGATACAAAACCAAAACCTTTTAAGCCTTATTTTCCTCACGTTAACTATTTCTGTATGCACAGCCGTAAGTTATTGGATTATATTTTCATGAATTATTCAGGGCAGCCCCCAGCAGCGGGGGAGCAGCGCGTGCTGCAGCCCTGCTCTCATGCAGAGGGCTCTGGCAGCGTGGGGTGAGCGGACCTGCGCCAGCCCTGCAGCACTGCTCCGGGCAGGGAGGAAGGGTCCTGCTCTTGTGCTGAGCGAGCAGAGTTTGTGTGGTTTGATATGCACAAGATGGATGGGATTGATTGCTTCCAAGTGCTCCTCGTAGCACTCGTTCTCCCTGGACCCGCAGGAGGCGGTGGTGATGTTTTCGGATGGCTTCGGTGGTAAAGCAAATGAAGCTTCATTTTGGAAAATATTCCAGTAAAAAGCCATTCAAAGTTCTGCACTTCTGTGCTTTCCCAAAGGTAAGGAAGGAAATAGGGGAGTATGATTGGAATAAACAAAAAAAGTATGTCTAAAGATGTTGAAATAAAACACAGAGTACCTTCTGAAGGGAATTTCGAACTCCTCTATTCTTTTCACCGTACAGAACAAAGGCTGTAAAAGCACAGGGCAACAGCCACGGAAAGGAAATGGTTATTTAAGCTAAAGGTCAGTGTTGGAATAAAGACTTAAATAACCATAATTACACCGCTGTGGGAACACATGAAAGACTTCCAGCCCTTGATTTTTAACCCACCGGTATTCTGGAATCCCTTTCCAAGCACAGCAGAGGATGTCCACAAGTCCCGTGTTCCTCAGGCATTGCAGCCTGCTGTCCCACAGAGGTGTCCCTGCAATGCACATGGCTCACTGCACTCCCTTTGTGCCCATTTCAGCTCCCACCTCAGTTAATGATGAGTGCAATTATGATGGGGATAAACAAAAAAAAATTCTCATGTCTACTTCAAACTTTTGCTAACCAGCTACGTGCTCTAATTGATGCTTGAGCAAACCAACTGAAATATTTTGAACTTCAAGAAAAAAAAAAAGCTGAGCCTTCTGAAACATTTTTTTCTCCACAATCCTGTATTTATTTCATGTCTCCTAAGCAGCTTGAAATCTTTAACTATGAGAAATAACTTGAAAGATTGGATTTGGGATAAGAAATTTGTATCCAACAGATGGCGTTGCCTCCTAATAGTCATCTATCTGTCTCTCAGCAGATTTCTCTGATCTTTTGAATAATAACAAAATCTGCAAAGGACCCCTTTCTTACCTATCCTTGCTCTCCATAGAAGCTTACTAAGAAAGCAAGAAAACAAGTATTGTGCACATTCACCAACACATCAAATTAAGGCAGTGAATTATTCAGGCAATTTACTGGCAGAAATCTGGGGCTAGTTCCAGGAACCCAACACAACAGGACGTCAGCGAACATGGAAGAGACAGCACTTTGGATAAAAGGGTTGCAAACGTCAGCTATGCACAATCACCTTCAGCATAGACAGATGGTGGTGACCACACCATTGTAAAAGAACTGAAGAAAAAAGTGAAGAGAAAGGAAGGTGTTTTAGTATGCCTGCCAAACCAGCGCAAATCAAGTCAGAGGGATGGTTTCATGGAAGGTCTTGCCACGGACATGCATGCAGCTATGAGCACACTTCTGTCCTGCCTGTCAGCACCTCTGGGCTTTTGCAAAACTGCTGTAGCAATCAGATTGCGCACATTGTTACACAGAATCACCTGGAATTCGCACCGTGACAAGAAAAAATTCAGAATTACTCCATGTACTGATAAACCACCTGGAACCAGTTCTGTAGATGAAGTATGAATTAGACAAAGGTTTAAATGCAAGGATGGTAACACTGGTTACATACTTCCACTAAAAGGAATGATGGGCTTTGTCACCTATCTCCTTGTGCCCTGAAGACAGAGTGAACAGAAGAAGTGTATAGTTGTGCCCTTTTTTTTTTTTTTCTTTCTTTTTTCCCTCTGCAGAATGACAAAGAATTAACCATTAGCTTGAAATGACAAGACTTCACAGGCTTATTTGGACTTCATGCTCTTAATTTTCAGTGTAATGATACAAAAAGCGAGGAAACATGGTCACTGCCTCTTAATGGCCAGAAGGAGACGTCCAGCAACCAGATGCTTTGTCATGCTGGCTGCTGAATAGCTGGGAAAAAAGTAATGCAGCTTGTGTATTTGAAAAAGGAAATTCAGACCTCTGTGCAGCAAGGCATAATGATGGCTAGGTGCTGATACCGGACTGCAAGGCAGCGAAAATGCTCAGTACATCTCATAGATCAATAAATAGCAGTTCTTGTGGACCAATTTTATAGTTAAATTAATAAATCATGATTCAAATGACAATGTAAAACAAAATAGAACAGCCTACCGATACTCTTTGCCTATAGCTTTTTTTAAAACAAATTTGGCTATTTCTTCCACAAGACAGCTGTCTTAACAGAAAATACCAAAACATACCATACTGTCAGCTGCTAGATTTCTGAAATAAAAGACAGAATTTCAAAGACAAAATGAACCAGACGTACCTAAGAACACAGTTCTGCCAGCAAAGTATTAAGTGACACTGTAGATTTACCAGGAAGAAATCCATTCTACCTTGTTTATAATACTTTCAAAGGACTAAGGACTTGTGCTTTTAGTTCAAGTTAGGAAACAAAAAGCATTTTTACACAAAACCATTATTTTTAGACCAAAGAAATCCTGAAGCCAAAACAAACAAACAAAACCAACTAATAATGCAGATTCAAAAGCAGGTGCTTTATTCCAGCTTTACTACTGACATTCAGTGTGGAGTAAAAGCTACTCACATAGCATGAGGAATAGTAAAGAGCATTCAAACGTTTCAAAAAAGGTAAATGCTTTGTTATTTAAACATTTTTAGTTCTAAGCAAATTCAAATCAAGCCCTCATTTCAGTGTTATCCTCAAGCATATCCTCTTCTAGGTTACTGGTAAGAAAATACCTATCTTGTTTAATATCAGAAAAGAGTAAATACTCAAACAGAAGCATTATGCCATTTAATAGAGAGGAGTTATGGAGGAAACAATCAGTAGATTTCCTTTGTGACTTCTATGAAGTCTAACTTTTTAAAATCAGATTTTTCAATTATTTCAGAGCATGGCCATCACCCAACTTTAGGCCTTCATTATTAACCCATCTGTGGCACCCATTCAGTTCCAGTGAATGAAGACAGTAGGGCCCTATACACCTCGAGTCCTTCATTAAACTATTGATCCCCTCAGCATTATCCATAATGTTCCAGCAGCCCAGCATGTCAACAAATGTAGAGCTCACTGCTCTTTCCTTTCAATAACTTCCACGCTTTATGGGGAGGAAGTCACAATGATTTATTTACCTGACATTTCCCAGTCCGGATATCGTAGAGGGCCACTGAACCATGGCGAGCTCCAACTGCTATTCTGTGACTTCGCTCGTAATAGCTGACCATGTAGAACCTGAATTGAACATCATAACAAGTAACAGGTGAGAACTGACCTGCCTGCATGATGTTAAAATTAATTTGCAATGCCACTGGGTAACTAATGTTAACATGGGATTTTATTTGGAAATCCATCAGCTGCCACTTTTCATTGTTGGCATTTACCAAACAAAGCTAACTGATGCTTGATACATCACTGCAGAGATATAATACATTTGTTCAATTTTGGTTTTGTTACCATGCGGTTAAACAACTCTGATGAGTTTGGGAACAGCCTATGTAATAGGCTGAATATCCCTGAATATCCATCTGCTTGTGCTGTTCACAGCTCAGCACCACCATAACCTGGATGCCAGTGGTTGAAGAAGACAATCCTAACATTCTGGGCGACTTAAAAGCAAAAAAAGGACAAGTCATCAAATTAGCTGTAATCCTGTAACACTGTTCAGGCGAGAAGGAGCTGAGAAGCATGTGGTAGCCCTTGAAATACGGCAGGAGTGTATGCCATTGATTTGAACACAAACAACTGCAATATTCAGAGAACCCCCCGAACTACTTGGGAATATACTTGCACTTTTCTTCTAAATGGAAAAGTAGACCTGCGAAAATTGTCAACTGCATGCCCTTTTAAACTTCTATTTTACAGTTAAAGTTCATTATAGCAAACTATAGCAGAGCCTGCTAAAATTGTTCTATCATAATATACTGCTGACCACATCTATGGCTTGAACAGGAAATCTTGTAACGAACCATCTCCATGCTCTTAAGGATTCCCGAAGTGCCATAGCAACAACTCTCTTACACAGCTGATACACTCTTTTCTATGGCACATGTTAGCAGTCGGGAAGAAAAACAGCATGAAACGTGGTGTTAAGCCAACAAAAGTAAGGAAATGAAAAGCATTTATTTTGATGCAGAACAAAAAGCAAGACTAACTAAAAGACTAAGCCCAGGTGCTCCAGGATGTGCCCAGTGCCGTGGATATGCAGCCATCCACAGCGTCCACAGCATGTGGATGCCTCCCTACCTACAGCATTAGGCACTGGGCATGTTATCCATCACACGTGGATAATACGTGGGGCTGCAATAACATAGCTTTCACTATTTTCCCTGTTTTATATCAAGTTGCAATCACCAACACAAAGTGGTGCCACAGTTGACCAGGCAGGTTATCTGTAAGGCTCTTTTATGCAACCAGCAAACTCGAGATTTATATTTAAACTTACAGAAAAACACACTACGTATCATTACAAGCGAAACAAAACACAACAAAAGGTTTATACATAAGAAGTTTTAAATCCCTATTATTACCATTACAGCACTGAATGGGCACAGTCCACTTGCCTTCTTCAACAGATTTAGAAAGAGAATATTGCATACTGTTATATGCAAGCATACAGCATTTCTCCTCTTACTGCATTTAAATGCCCATTTAGACTGAGAGCTGAGTCAGTATTTCTCTTTGAGAAGAATCCATCAGTCTACATAACAACAGACTGTTTGCAGGAAAAAGCTTCATGGAAACAGACATTTTTTAGCTTAATTTTATAAAAAACATTACTCCTTCAGCTGACATTCAGTTGTCAGCCCTTTTGCTTTCCTCTTTATCTTTCGGCTTAGTATTGTTGCAGCATCCACAGATTTAAGTATTTTAATCCTTTGCCTCCCTTTTTAAACCTCTAAATGGCAGAGCTGAATAGAGAATGATATGCCAGCATATATTTCGGCTATGCTACAGATCCATTTTTGCAAGCCTAGCTGATGCATCCATATCCACCATTGGCATCTTAATGGAAACCTCACTTTGAGTGCTGCTCCATTACTGCTCAGCAAGGAAACTTCAGTCAGCCAAGAGACAGCTTAATTTAACTGCTGGAGGAATGCTGCTGGACCCAAAGAAACAGTGCTGCTCTTCCTGGTAGCAACTCAGCCTCCAAACTTAAGGGTGAGCTGCATCTCACACACTCTTTCTCCCTGCGCTTCCCAACTGAAAACTGTCTTTGGGAATAGGACAGATGGCCAATGAGAGAAAAGCCAAGCTTTTGTATTGTCAGAATGCTCAAATGCTCCAAATCTTTGTCCAAAGAACTTATGCACTAGCTAGCAAACAGAAAGCTGTGAAAGACCAGTTGAGAAACCACCAAGCAGAAGGGAAGGTACCTTTCACCAGTGGCCTTGAATTCCTTCAGTTGTGCTCTAAGTTTCCACAAGTAATCAATGCATAAAATGTTGTTGTACAACCTCACTTTGTCTAATTCTTGATGTACTCTCTGCAAGTCTGCTTCTTAGTAAAAAGCAATCTAAAATAGTTGTTGTTGTAAATTTAATCTATACTCCCATGTGAGATGATGCTGTTACACAGAAGGTTTGAAGTCAGCAAACTGTACTAAATGCATGACCTGACCCAACGCAGTCCATCAGGGACCACTCAGCTTTGTGTAGTTGCTGAATCAGGATAATGCTGAATTTGAACAGAATTTTGTTGCCCTCAATATCAGCCCTCAAAATTTTAAAGAAATTCAGAAATATCTCATGCATATTGCACTGCGTTTCAAAACTTCCATTTTTGTAAGAAATGGGTTGGTACTGAGGATGCCAAAAGGTAATACAACCCCCTATTAAGAAAATACCACTAATGGGAAAAGAAAACGCACATCATAGTCACATGCAATGTGATGGATTTACCTCATCACCACGTATCAGGACTGAGTCATGCTCACAGCAACTAGCAATAGACTGCTGCTGTTGTACAACAGAAAGAAACAAAAAAAAAGAAAAAAGGAAAGAATCCGGTACTTCAACACAGCACACTGCTGTTCACAGCTGTGGGTTTTTACTGTTCTATGAAAATATGAACGCCCCTTCAAAGGAACAAACAAGCAAAATATTTGTCATTACAGAGCACTGCAGAAATGCCCTATGGGAGGCTATGAATAAGAATGCACACCTAATGAAAGTATTTGGGCAACTACACAATTTAATCACAACAGGTCTGCATATAATGCAGGTCAGCAGAAAGGGCAGCAGATATTAATAGAATTAATAATAGGATTACATCAAGGTGCTTCCACTTGGACCCTCTCCAGATGCTCAACAACTTGCTAAAATGTTATGAAAATTTCCATTGGGCTGAATGACCACATCAGTGGGGTGCTGCATCATTTTTACAATGGCTATAACTATGTATAATAGGAAATATTACTTGTAATTTAACAATCTGTTAAGATAATGTATAACTATAAAAGTACAACAGGAAAGGGAAGATTTTTTGCACTAATTCCCACTTGCCCTTGCATTTATGTGTTACGTTAAGCCTTTTAAAGTACCAAGAAGAAGGAAAACTACTTCTATCAGTGTCTTATCTGTCAACAGAATAATAGCTCCTTTCTTGAAACTACTCAATATTTTAATAGCTTATTAAATTAAAATGTAATGGTGGAGAGACAAAAGTTACAATTTATTGGTCGTACTGGTTTAATGGTATAACTGGGACATTCATCATAGTCTTAAGCTGCCGTGTGTCCACATGTTATAAATTGCATTTTACTGTTAAAGAGGCTCAGAGCCAAGCAGAAACATCCCAGGACCAAAGCACGTAATGGCGCTCAGCTCCCTTCCCAGATCAGTGGGGCTGGGAATCTGCACACTCTAAAGAAACCAGCAGAGCTCTTCTGATTTTGAGAGGTTTAATTTCAATTGCCTCTCCTGCATCAGCATGAGAGCTTCAAAAATTCTTTTAAAAAACAGTTCAATAGCAGCCCTTGTGTCCTGCTTCCTGCCACAGGGCTCATCTGCCCCCCAGCAGGCGTTACCTGAATTCAGCTTTCATTCCCTGCTTCCCAAATCTGCTCAGAGCTCAAGGATGTGGTGGGAGAGGAGAAAATTCCAGCAGGCCTGAGAGGCTCGCCCAAAATTGCAGGGCTGTGCCAACAACTGACTGACAGATCACACAGACAGATTACAACAGCAGTCAGCTATTGCCATTAAGGGATGCAACTTTTATTTTCAAAATTCCCCACTGGAGGACATTTCAGAGAGCAGAGCAGAGACAGACCTAGGCTTCCTGTGAATTAGATACTTTTTTGCTATTTGGCCAGGCTCCCAGTAGGAGAGCACACTTTCCTGAAGGACTGGGCCGCTGACAACAGATCTAGAAATGAAAGCAAGAGAGCTTGTAGGCCCACCTTCGCCTCGAGAGCTGACATGTAGCTTAAGTTGGCTGCTCACAGCTTCATTTCAGCTTAGGAACAGACAGCAATTCAGCTCCAAGGTGTTTGGGGAAGTCAACACAACGTAAGCTACCTGTACCTGGAAACAATCCACCACTAAGCTCCCCTAAACCTCCAAACCAAATCCTTATTTTCTGCTGTCACCATCTTAGTCCATTTTTCTTCTGCAGCCTGTACATTATTATGTCAATTAATTCACTCAAGCAGGTCATACATACTGGAATCTAGCTTGTTACTCAAGAATGTTATTATCATTTCTGCAACAACAGCAACAAAGATATTCATAAACCCTTTGAAAGAAAGCTGCCCAATTAATTTGGTCTGCTTGTGCAGCTGTTGCAGCTAGGATGCATGACAGGGCAGCAGGACAGTTTTTCCAAGAGACTGCACAGTGTTTTCCTCATTCTGGACTTTTACAACACTTGGTTAACACTTCTCTTTTCTGGTTCCTGTCTGTCAGATGTGGCAGAAAACTAAAATCTGTAAAGAATATTAGAAGTAAGCTAAAAACCATTCTTCTGATTTGCTGTTGTAAGAAGCAAGTATGTTCCACTCCAAGTATGAAATGCATCTTGCCAGAGACCCCCATTATTTTGTTCTCATTATTCACAAAGGAAGAGCTTACCTGCAGATGGCTGGAAAGCATTCTTGAAGACCTTTTTTCTTAACTAAAGATCCTTCGAGGCAATACATGATGATGTCCATAACCTTGGAAACGAAAGTTGAAAATATCTGACATTGTATACTTCATAATAACGTTTCTGACAGGCAAAAACAAAATATTTCCGTGCCTTACTGCATTTTCAAAACCTAAATTTAAAATCTGTACCAAAACCGCAGAACCACTGCATTGCCTGTACCATTCTTCACCAGTACTTGTTGGCACCAATGAAGACGAAGGCTAAACATGTCCAAATGACCCCCAGCATGTTCAGGTACTAGTCCCACCAGCACACATGTAACCACCAGCATACTATCTTGCTCGCTTGATCCCCCCACAATTATGCCACAAAAGTGTTTAACATTTTAAGTTAAAAAGGTTTATGGTACACAAGAGAATCAAATGCCACAATGCCGTTCCGGCCAAGGCATTATTTATTACTGCATCAAAACCACAAAGCCTTATAGCACGACAGCATTACCTCCACAAGAAGGTCCACAACGTCGGTAGGCATCTTCTCAATAAGGATTTCAATGACTCTCAAGATCTCTCCTTTAGCCCGAGCAAGAGTTGTGGTGTGAATATTCTGCTGAGACTGTGTGTTTGCTGCAAGGGCGGTGTGTCTGTGCACCTACAAGGAGCAGGGTTACACATGCAAACTTGGATTTGCTAAATATTCTTACTAAACACGTTACATGGGGTGAGAGTGCTTTGCTTTACTTCGCTTTGATTATGAGTCACCAGTGGTCATCCCTGATGCAGTTTTTAAACAAAGGTCTACCTTTGTTTTGAGTATTACTTAACCTCACGAAGCTACAGGTCAAAATGAGCAAATGCTTAGGGTTTTGATTACATAATTGTGACATTTTTCTTCGTATTTCCTCAGGAAGCAGGTGCCTGCTTTATAACAGGCTTTTTGTGGCCTGCTGCTGAACATCTAGCTAAGCAAAAGCTCCAGGCATCTGGGTTCACTCAGATGAGTCTCAGAAAGACAGCGCCGACCCACACCAACCTCTGAGCACCGCCCCCTCCTTGCCCCCAGCCTGCACGGCTCAGTCCCCATCCTGCTTCGATTCACACTTAACTGGGTGGCGTTTGCATAGCTGAGGGAAAGTAGCATTTTTTACACATTAATATTTGAAGTCTGGACAACCTGTAGATCACGATATGACAAAGATATAACCGGCTAAGTATAAACCCAATCGTAACTTGTGTGTCAACAATGCAAACGCGATCCTTGCTTTTTCCCCTTCTGGGGAGGAAGGGCAGGACGTGTGACGGCTCACTGCTGTCCCACAGGGGCTCACCACCCTGCTCACCTCCTTGGCGATGGTGGTAATGAAGGCGGGCGGCCGGGCTGTGGCGATGAGCGAGAGCGCGTGGCGTGCCGAGCGTGCAGAGTCAGCCGCCGGGCTCAGGGGCAGCCCCATTGTGATGCTAAACGGCGCCAGACAAAGCAGGGAGAAAGAAAAGGAGCATTAGAAATATAGAGTGAAGAGATTAGAAACAGCTTATAATGTCAGTTCAAGGTCAACGGGAGCACTCAAACAGTTAGAATATAATGGACTCACAACAATGAGCAGTGATTAGGAGTCAGGGTGTTCTATCATCAAATACAAAATCGAATAATTAACCATGAAGATTGAAAACAGTATGTGCATCTGTCCCAAGTGTTAAAAAGGCCTTGTTAACAAATTACCTGTATGTGTTGAATACATATCACGGCGCCCAGGACAAGGCAAATGAGGAATGTCTTGCAAAGAAATTATGTTTTACACTTCTACAAAATCTTAAATTCAGGCTGGAAAACATCCTTTTCATAGTAATTCTACTTAATTCAGCTACGCACTAGTTTCAGGAGATTAAAGCAAGAGGCTTCTTGAACTGAACTCGCTGAATCTGTTCAGTTTAATTTGCTTTAGTGCATGACTTACAGAAGCATGCAGAGATGACGGACCCATGCCTTATGTTACTTACTAAAATTATTCAAATGCTCTTTAAAAATTTCTAACCACGAGGTTTTTCTGCAGTGTTTCAAATAACACTCAGAGATTAACTAGCATCTGAGTTTTCCATATGTAGCATTTTTATTTGCTATGGCAGCATAAATTTAAGAAAAAATAAAGTAGGTAGCCAATAGCTGCATTAATCAAAAGTAATATCTCTTATGTCATAACTGAGAGAATAAGTTAGCTGACAAAGAAGATGCATATCTAATTTTTGTCTGAAAGCTTCCTTTCTTAAAAGGCTACTACTTCAACTATCACTGTTTAACTACCATTATCTATGTCACAGCAGACTGCATTCTTGCTGGGCGAACTCTACACTATCCAGAAATTCTACAAATCCTTCCTGCGCCCACACCCAAATCCACGGCCCAAAATGAAAGTACTTCTACAGGCTAAGAGCTCTTAGCTTCTTTGCCTTCAGAAAAGCAAGCTAATGTATGAAGTTATATCCGATCTGCCTGAAAATCAGAATACAAAAATCAGTAGCACTTGAAGGCGCTCAGTTAATAGTATGGGGGAAGGGCATTATGGCAAAGCAGTGTTTACCTCCTGGCTTCCATTACCAGAAGGGAACATTTTCCCAACAGAAAACAGCAGCAGTGTGGGAGGTAGAAATGGGAGGAAAAGGGTTGTGTGGAAACCAAGAAAGATCATCCTCTGAGAAGGAATTGGGCTTTTACAGACGGGGAAGGAGCAGCTGGGACACAACGTTCAGTGGGATTAGCCTGGCACAAACAGCCTCTGCAGCCCAACATGCATACTGCAGCAAAAAAAGCAACACCACAAACAGCTCTTTGCCAGCCCTGAAACAATCCTGCCGCTATAGCCGTGCTATCC